CTTTAGGGGTGCTGTGCGGGCCTTCACTCCCTCCTCCATGTTTGCAGACCACAGTCCATGCCATCACCGCCACCCAGAAGACCGTGGACGGCCCCTCTGGGAAGCTGTGGCGTGATGGCCGAGGGGCTGCCCAGAACATCATCCCTGCTTCTACTGGCGCTGCCAAGGCTGTGGGCAAGGTCATCCCTGAGCTGAATGGGTGAGGTTCCTTGCTGTTCTCTGCCCTGGGGGTCTGTGGAACCGGGAGGAGCAGTACTGACCCTGCTTTGCCTGCTGTCTGCAGGAAGCTCACTGGCATGGCCTTCCGTGTCCCCACCCCCAATGTGTCCGTCGTGGATCTGACCTGCCGCCTGGAGAAAGCTGTAAGTAGGAGTTGGAAAAGGATTCATGGGCTCAGGGTTTGTGTGTTGGATAAAAAACAGCAAGATTGGAACTTGAATAACCATCTCGTTTTTACCTTTTTAGGCCAAATACGATGACATCAAGAAGGTGGTGAAGCAGGCATCAGAGGGCCCCCTCAAGGGCATCCTGGGCTACACTGAGGACCAGGTTGTCTCCTGCGACTTTAACAGTGACACCCACTCTTCCACCTTCGACGCTGGGGCTGGCATTGCGCTCAATGACCACTTTGTCAAGCTCATTTCCTGGTATGCTGCTGGGGTGTGGTTGGGGGTGTGGCGCCCTCTGGTGGCCGGTTCATGAAAATAGGCCTGAACTCTTGATCCTCTTTCAGGTATGACAATGAATTTGGCTACAGCAACCGGGTGGTGGACCTTATGGTCCACATGGCCTCCAAGGAGTAAGAGCCCCCTGGACCACCAGCCCCAGCAAGAGGAAGAAGAGAGAGGCCCTCAGCTGCTGGGGAGTCCTTGCCCCCGTTCGTCACCCAACACACTTGAGAATCTCCTGATCTCCAGTTTCCATCCCAGACCCCCTGAAGAAGGGGAGGGGCTTGGGGAGCCCTACCTTATCATGTACCATCAATAAAGTATACTGTATCCAACCAACTCTTGTGGGTTTTTTGTTTTGTTTTTTAGCTTTTTCCAGGGTCTGGGACAAACGGGAGGGGAGCTAGGCTGGTGCCAAAGAGAAATAGACCTTGCTGCGAGTACCCAAGAAGGGCCCAGCATACCCCAACCAGACCTGAAACTCCGCTGTAGGTCCTGGGCCCAAGTGAAAGGCCTTACAAAAGCACATGTGCATGGGCACTCACTAATTTGAAGACCAGTCTGTCTTCGCTTTGGCTTAGTTTCCCTCCAAGGCTTTTAGGTGCTATGCGATGGGGCATGTCCACTTCAGAGGACAAGGCTGTTTTGTCACTGGGTCACCTGGCTTCCTCTCTCTGAAAGCTGTTCTGTCTGCCGCCCTCTGGAGGAGGAACACTGGCACAGGGAGTCAGGGCTTAGGAATTGGGCTACCAAGTCCTCGCGGCCTTGACTGGTTACCTGGTCACTCAGAAGCAGAGCGCTAGCGACGTGGAATACAGTCAAACCACCAGGGTGCAAATTCCACCCTGCCTCACAGGTGTGAGGTCTTGAGTAAATTATTTACTTTTGTGTGCCCTAGTTACTCATCTGCAAAGTGATCCGCTACACCCAGCCCCTAAAGGTTTTCCAGAAGGATTATGTTCAGTCGGCTACATAAGTGCACAGCACTGTGCAGCAAATGATCAGGAAAAGGGGTAATGCCCACAGCGGTTTAAGAGGATTACTCCCGTCATCTGTGGGTGAGGACTCCGTGGGCAGAGACACAGGCTGGCACCAGCCACGTGGGCAGAGGCCCTGGTTCTGGGCCCAGAACCAGACTTGGCCCCAGCTTGTGTCTCTCTAGTATTTTTCGTGACTTTTTAAAACTTTTTTGTTGAGGTATAACTTACAGAGGGTTAAATGCACAAACTGTGGTCCAGGGCCTCTGCCACTTGTTCAACTTGGGCAAGTTACCTACCACCTCCAGGTGCCTTCCTTTGCACTTGCTTGTATGTCGAGTGAGGAAAACCGGTGTGTGCCTCACAGAGGGGATGGTGTAGCTACTACCAGAAAGTGCTTGAAACAGTGACACAGAAGTGTTCAATAAATACTCGCCAGTTTCATTATTATTAAAGACTCCATTCAAATGTCCGCTCAGCACAGCTTCCCTCAGGCAGTTATGCTGACGTGTCCGCATTCACGGCTCCCCAGTTTCTCCCAAGCTTTTCCAAGTCCAGGACATCTCAGCCTGCTGCTCTCAGTGTATGACAGGCACGGAGGAGGCACATCTTCAGCTGATACTTGAAGAAACTGAGACCCTGAGCACACATGTACACACACACACACACACACACACCACACATGCACACACACATACAAGTAGCTTCACCTTTTTCTCTGCCACTCAGCATTGGGAAACTTCCATCTCCCTCCACGGTACTGCACCCAGTCGGATCCAGAAGCCGCCTAGACCGGAGGCCCCTTCAATGCATGGCACTTCCATAAAGGACGGGTCACAGCCCCATCACTGCCATCCACGGGTGGATGACAACGCAAGGGGGGACAGAGCGCCCTGCCCGGTCCCGCCTCCCTCCACCTGCACCTTGGAGGGAAGCCCTCTCCCACTGCATGTGTGTTGCACAAGCCCTGGAAGGACCAGCCTAATCCACTTCATACCAGTGCCTGGGCCAGTTAGCACCAGTACAGAATCAAAGACAGTAAGCTGGCTCGAGGCCTCAAGAGATGCAAGGAAGATCTGACAATCACATTCCTTACTCAATGGAGAAAGTAAGGGGCCACGATCGCTCTGGCAGCATTTTAAAGATGAGAAGTAGCAGACGCCCACGCGTGAAGGCAGGAGAGCCCCAGCTGTGGTGGGAGTCACCTGGGAAGGGCAGGCTGAGCCTCGCTCCAGACACCTCAGAACCCTGAAGGCCAAGGACTAAGGCAGGAAGCCCGAGGGAGGAGCGCCCCAGTCCCCAGGGGCGAGGCTTGGTGCGGCGGGACGGATGGCGTTCCCCTTCTGTGAACCCCCCACCCCTCTGCCTCTGTGAGTTCCCGGCAGGGTGGGGCCCCAGGCCACCAGGCTGGAGGTAGGTCCCTATCTCATGGAGCTATCAGATGAGACATCGCGATCGGAGTCCTCAGTCTCGCTTGGCGGCGGCGGCGGCGGGTCGCTAAGCGGGACCGCAGTGAAAGCAGGAGACTTTCTAGAAAAAAACACCAGTTGTCACCTTGGGGCAGGGAGGAATCCTGATGACACTGGCATTCCTCTCCCGTGGCCTTACTCTCTGGCAGGCCAGTGAATGCCATCTCAGGCAAGGACAGGAGGGCCACAGGGGTGAGGGTAGATGCAGGGTGAGGGCAGTGGGGAAGGGAGAGGGAAATCCCTCCCGCCCCACCCTGATGGGGGATATGGTCCCTGTCTTTATCCTGGGGACTCTGGGAGGCTCAGAGTTCAGAAATATCTCAAATCGCAGTATGAGAGATGTTGTCTGAGCCCGAGTGCAGACTTGATGGCCCCAGCTTTGTGTCTCTCTGTAGTATTTTTGTGACTTTTTAGAACTTACTTTTTTGTTGGGGTTTAACTCACAGAGAGATGCACGAACTGGGCCTGGCTTTCAATAACAAACTGCCCCCATGCCCCTTCTGTTCCTTGCCGGTTTTTAGCTACGGGGTTCTTAGGGCTTGCCCACCAACGGCCTCTGGTGCATGCACCCTTGGAGGAGGACACAGAAGGCGGGCCGCACCCCACACTCCAGGGGGAGGTCCTCACCGGTCTCCAGACTGGGTGATTAGCCGACGGCAGGTCTCCATCTGCACGTCCAAGCCCCGCTTCATGCTGCACATCTCCATGTACTCGTGCAAGTGCCGGTTCATGTCATTCTTGGCCGTGGCCAGCTCCAGCTGTGGCAGGCGCAGGACGAGACCATCCAGGTCAGCAGTGCCCCTGCCCCTAACCCCCAGGGGCTAACACACCAAGAGCACCAGGCATGGGGCCCAGGTGGCCACGGGTGAAGGCTCAGATTTCAAAATAAGTCAGATGCTAGCGCCTGGGTGGCTCAGTCGGCGAAGTGGCTGACTCTTGACTTTGGCTCAGGTCATGATCTCACGGTTCGTGAGCTCAAGCCCAGCACTGGGCTCTGTGCTCACAGCAAGGAGCCTGCTTCATACCCTCTGCCTCCCTCTTTCTGCCCTTCCCCTGCTCCGTGTCTCTCTCTCTCTCTCTCTCTCAAAAATAAACATTTGTTTTTTAAATAAAAAAAGTCCGATCAAGCCAGAAGTCACCAATATACCATCATTCCTTTTAGTTTTCCTGGGGATCTTTGCCTACAGAGGAAGGCAGAGGTCTCTGCTACAGGCCTGCATTCTTGCAACAGACCTTCACTGACAAGAGGAACCTAAGTGTGGGCAGGACAGAGAGCTCAGGGTGGCTATCTGTGCACGGCCTTGCTCCCTCCCTGGGCTTCCTGCAGGCCCAATACAGTGCTGCACCCAGTCTGTCTCCCTCACTAATTTGGGTGCTCCTGGAAGGTGGTCACAGGCCTTTTTAAAATTTTTTAATTTTATTTTTCATAGAGAGAGACAGAGCACAAGTGGGGGAAGGGCAAGAGAGAAGGAGACACGGAATCTGAAGCAGGCTCCAGGCTCTGAGCTGTCAGCACAGAGCCCGACACGGGGCTCGAACCCACAAACCACAAGATCATGACCTGAGCCGAAATCAGAAGCTCAACCAACTGAGCCACCCAGGCGCCTCCATTTTTTTTTTTTTTTTTTAATGTTTATTTTTCAGAGAGAGAGAGCACAAGCGGGGGAGGGGGCAGGGAGAAAGGGGGACAGAGGATCTGAAGTGGGTTCCGTGCTGACAGCAGTGAGCCCCATGAGGGGCTTGAACTCACAAACCTCGAGATCACAACCTGAGTCGAAGTCAGAAGCTCAACCAACTGAACCACCCAGGCGCCCCCGCTCCCAGCCCCAGGTCTTACTCATCTCTGCATGTGCCCAGCCCCAAGATGGGAAATTACTTAGTGAGACTTTTTGAAGTAGCCATAAGCCTCATGGCACAAAGGAGGGGACCTGCCCTGCACTGTTGAAAGAGGCTCAATCCTCCTCTTATCACTCTCATCTCCTGAGTGGGCAGTTCTCAGAATCCAACAGAAAGACTTCTGCCACACCCAATGTCCTACTGCGTATAAGATGTATCCCGGTTCGGGGCGCCTGGGTGGCGCAGTCGGTTAAGCGTCCGACTTCAGCCAGGTCACGATCTCGCGGTCCGTGAGTTCGAGCCCCGCGTCAGGCTCTGGGCTGATGGCTCGGAGCCTGGAGCCTGTTTCCGATTCTGTGTCTCCCTCTCTCTCTGCCCCTCCCCCGTTCATGCTCTGTCTCTCTCTGTCCCAAAAATAAATAAAC